CTCCAGAGCTCTCGGTAAAGACGGTTAGGGTCTGTCCTCCTACATTTTGTAGAAGAAAGGGGTGGTCTCTCGGCGCACTGATGGACGTTGCCTTCCCCCCAATACCGTCGATGTTTGCAAGATCTTCGTTCAAGGTGAAAGAGACCTGACAACAGAAAACACCGTTTCGTATTTATGAAAAGGCTCGGTGGGTGCTTGTAAGGCCTGGAGGTGGGTAGGTGGGTGGGTGGGAGACAATCTGGCTGCTTCCCACCAAAGGAGAGTCAGAATCTTAACAGCCTTTCATATAATCGACACGCGGGGGGGGGGGGGGCAAACAGATCAGGATCACCATGCCGGACAGCCGATCCTTGATTTATCACCATTCATTTAGTGACCGTTTGAAGTTACAACGGCACTGGAAAAAATGATTCAGGACCGTTTTTCACACTTCACGACCTACGGCTCCGTGACCAAAATTCGGACGCTGAGCAACTGACTCGTACTTATGACCGTTGCTGTGTTCCAAGGTCAGGTGACCCCCGTTTGGCCACTTTCTGACAAGCCAGATTCCTTTAACAACCAGGGTTACTAATTTATCAACTGCGGAGATTGACTCAACAAGCCTGGCGAGAAAAGTCGTAAAAAAACGGTGCAAAATTCGCTTAACAGCCGTCTTGGCTTAGCAACGTGAAACTGGAGGTCCCATTGTGGTCGTAAGTTGAGAACTACCCCTGCCATCTTCTCTTAAGACAGGGGGAAAACGCCTCGGGCCAGGGCCTGAACTGTCCCACACAATTTCAGGGATAATCCGTCGCTTTGTCACAGGCAGCCGGCCGGGAAAACGTGACTGGAATTCCAAGTCCGGCCTCCCGCAAAGGATGATCCTTTATTTTATGGCTTAAAAAGGCCACTTCAAGAGCCCCTCCAAAAAGGCACGTTATGTATTGAGTATATCATTACACCGTTGCTGCTGCGTAGGGGTGTAATTCATTCTGATTTATTTCAGTCCAGAGTGACAGCTTGGAGTGGGCCTGCTGGGAAAGGAGTTAATATGTATGGAAATTCAGTTTCTCCATCTCCGCGTGATCATTTAGTCTCTCGGCCCTATTAGCCTCTAGAGCCCCTTCTGAATTAAACCTTGGCTTCAAAATTACTCTCTGTCTTTTTTTTTTTTTTTTTGCTTAGCTCTTCCTTTCCTTCCAAGGGAAAAAAAAAGTAGAGGACTGAACTGAAGAAAGCATTTTATTCTGTTTATTAGTTTGCAAAGGCTCTTCCTAGCCCAACCCCTAAGCCCTTCCTTGGGAAACGGCTGAGTAATCCAATTACTACGTTCAACCAGACAGCCTAGGACAGGGGTACGCAACCGTGCCTCTTTTATGACTGGTGGACTTCAACTCCCAGAATTCCTGAGCCAGCCATGTTGAGGGGAAAGGGAGAGGTTTCCAAGCTGAGCCATGCTGGCTCAGGAATTCTGGGAGTTGAAGTCCACCAGTCATGAAGGGGCCATAGTTTCCCCCATGCTGGCTCAGGAATTCTGGGAGTTGAAGTCCACAAGTCATGAGGAGGACATAGTTCCTCTATGCTGGCTGAGGAATTCTGGGAGTTGAAGTCCATGAGTCATGAAAGGGCCATAGTTCCCCCATGCTGGCTCAGGGATTCTGGGAGTTGAAGTCCATCAGTCATGAAGGGGCCATAGTTCCCCCATGCTGGCTCAGGAATTCTGGGAGTTGAAGTCCGCAAGTCATGAGGGGGCCGTAGTTCCCCCATGCTGGCTGAGGAATTCTGGGAGTTGAAGTCCACGAGTCATGAGGGGGCCGTAGTTCCCCCATGCTGGCTGAGGAATTCTGGGAGTTGAAGTCCACCAGTCATGAGGGGGCCGTAGTTCCCCCATGCTGGCTGAGGAATTCTGGGAGTTGAAGTCCGCGAGTCATGAGGGGGCCGTAGTTCCCCCATGCTGGCTGAGGAATTCTGGGAGTTGAAGTCCGCGAGTCATGAGGGGGCCGTAGTTCCCCCATGCTGGCTCAGGGATTCTGGGAGTTGAAGTCCATCAGTCATGAAGGGGCCATAGTTCCCCCATGCTGGCTCAGGAATTCTGGGAGTTGAAGTCTGCAAGTCATGAAGGGGCCATAGTTCCCTCATGCTGGCTGAAGAATTCTGGGAGTTGAAGTCCATGAGTCATAAAAGAGCCGAGGTTGCCTACCCCTGGCCTAGGATAACTCAATCGTTACTCAGAAGTATCGGTTTCCTTCATAAAGAAAGCATCTGTTAATTTATTTATTTTTTTTGTTTCCAACATTTAGAAAACTGGCTTTCCTCTTTCTTTCTTTCTTTTTTTTTTCTTTTCTTTCAGATTGCCTTGCACGTTGTTAAAAGGCGTTTTAGGAAAGTTCTGGGTTCAAAACAGCACGAACCTAGATTTATAGGAGAGGCCGCTAAGAGGCTAGGCAAAAACGATAAAATTCTAAGAAAAAAAAAAGCCTGTAATACTTTGGCATAACTCTGTATCAAAACACAGGCACGCATAAGGGTAATCGTTAATCTATTACTTACTTCTGTTCTTCCTTGATTTCTGTAAGAGAAACAAACAACGTTATTTTAGGGCTGATTTGTCTAGTAATGAGAACACCAGCAACACATCCCCCCCCCCAAAATCTGTTTAAATTTCTGTGGCAGTTGGATAACATTTTTATGGAGGTGCCCAGCTATTTGTGCTGAAAAGAGATCCTCCCCTTGGTGTTATTGCGGTAGTGTTTTGTTAAATTGTGAAGCAAAACAGATGCCTCACATTTTGCAGACGTTTACCTATCCTTTCAATCTCCTCTCCCCAAACAGCCCTTAGGCTGCCCCCTTCCTGGAATATATATATAAAATATAAACTTTCTTACTTGGCAATTCTTAGCTTTCCTACTTCGCCTCTTCCTAAAGCTTTATTCCACTGTTGAGACAAGTATTTTGGGACCTAAAAGAGACGGGGGGGGGGGGAAATAATCAAGAAAAATCTGCAACGAATAGCAATAAATATAAATAAACAGAACAATTAACCAGTGGAACAATCTGCTTCCAGAAGCGGTGAATGCTCCAACACTGGAAGTTTTTAAGAAGAGACTGGACAGCCATTTGTCTGAAATGGTGTAGGATTTCCTGCCTGAGCAGGAGATTGGACTCGATGACCTCCAAGGTCCCTTCTGAGTCTGTTATTCCCTCCCTCCCTCCCTTCCTTCTCCAACACTGGAAGTTTTTAAGAAGAGACTGGATAGCCATTTGTCTGAAATGGTATAGCGTTTCCTGTCTGAGTACGGGGTTGGACTAGATGACCTCCAAGTACTTTCTAAGTCTGTTATTCCCTTCCTTCCTCCCTCCCTCCCTCCCTCCCTTCCTTCTCCAACACTGGAAGTTTTTAAGAAGAGACTGGACAGCCATCTGTCCGAAATGGTATAGGGTTTCCTGCCTGAGCAGGGGGTTGGACTAGATGACCTCCAAGGTCCCTTCTGAGTCTGTTATTCCCTCCCTCCCTCCCTTCCTTCTCCAACACTGGATGTTTTTAAGAAGAGACTGGACAGCCATCTGTCTGAAATGGTATAGGGTTTCCTGCCTGAGCAGGGGGTTGGACTAGATGACCTCCAAGGTCCCTTCCAACTTTACTATTATTGTTATTATTAAATTGCAAATAAAGCAGCACCCGGGTGGATGGGTTCTGTTACAGAGGCAGCAAACGCACTGCGGGGAGACCTGGAACAGGACAGGTGCACATCATCCTGGAGACAAATCTTTCTACGTGGTCACTAGGACTTGAAGATGACTTGATAGGACACGATCGATCCAGGAGCCTCTAACGGGCTCGTCGCTAACAGAAAAAAATAATTGGTTTTCAAAGCCAGGGCAATGTAGTTCTTTACTAGCACATGTTGTACCATTTCAGAATTTTAAAAGCAGCTTTGGGAAGCAAAATGCCCACAATAAAAACTATTAGTAAACACACAGATGCACCTCTGGAAAGATAAGCCATCTTCCAAGCGGTCGCTTAGCAACGGTTCAAAGCTACAACAGGACCCCCAAAAGGGATCAAAAACAACCCAGGTTCAAAGTCCCGATGGCTAGCCCCGCCCCCCAGCAGTCATCTGATCGCATTTTGGGCGCTCCGCCATCCACCTGCGTTTATCGCCATTGGCGGCACCCTACGATAACGTGACTGTAATATACAACATGGGTTGTGGTTGTTGGGTTTTTTTTAAAGCAGAAACTGACATGTATTTCTGGTTTCTATTAAAAAAAAAAAAAATGCCCAGTGCAGAAAATGTCTTCGCTTAAGGACCGCTGCATTTGCTTAATGATCGCTGCCAAAAGTAAATAAATAAATAAGAAGGTCATCCAACTGGGCCAGCCGATGGGCGTGTCTCGATTTAGGACCCTCGTGACATAGGAAGGAAATTCCAGGCTCCATTAAGGTTGTTAAGTCAAGGACTACCTAAACCAGTGGTTCTCCACCTATGGGTCGGGACCCCATTTGGGGTCGAACGACCATTTCACGGGGGTCGCCAAACAACACAGTCCGCCATTTTCCCCCCCCTTTTCCTTAGCTGTGCTAATCGGATTGCTCCGATTCCAAATAATCAAGATCATGTGAAGGGTTAATACCACTTTACAATGCCTTGGTAAGGCCACACTTGGAATACGGCATCCAGTTTTGGTCCCCATGATGTAAAAAAGATGTTGAGACTCTGCAAAGAGTGCAGAGAAGAGCAACAAAGATGATCAGGGGACTGGAGGCTAAAACATATAAGGAACGGTTGCAGGAATTGGGTATGTCTAGTTTAACGAAGAGAAGGACAAGGGGGGACATGATAGCAGTCTTCCAGTATCTCAAGGGCTGCCCCAAAGAAGAGGGAGTCAAGCTACTCTCCAAAGCACCTGAAGGCAGGACAAGAAACAAAGGATGGATAATAATCAAGGAGAGAATCAAACTAGAACTAAGGAGAAACTTCCTGACAGTGAGAACAATTAACCAGTGGAACAACCTGCCTCCAGAAGTGGTGAATGCTCCAACACTGGAAGTCTTTAAGAAGAGACTGGACAGCCATTTGTCTGAAATGGTGTAGGGTTTCCTGCCTGAGCAAGGGGTTGGACTAGATGACCTCCAAGGTCCCTTCCAACTTTATTATTATATCCACAAATCTCACTGAATCAAATATATACGTGTGTGTATGTTTGTCTTTATGTATGTATGTGTATGTATATACGTATGTAGTCCACAACTGAGTCCAAAATGTCTGTTAAGCAAGACAATTGTTTATCTGGATTTTGCCCCATTTTATGACCTTTCTCCCCACGACGGTTAAGTGAACCACAGCAGTTATGAAGCTGGTAACATAATTGTTAAGTTCTGAACCTGCCTTTCCCCACAGACTTTCCTTGTTGGAAGACTGGAAAAGGGAAAACAGATAATCGCAGAACACAGCGACCGTCCTAAATACGAATCCGTTGCCAAGCGTTTGGATTTTGATCACGTGACCTTGGGGAACGCAGCGATGGTCGTGAGGGTGAATAACGGTCCTAGGTCACTTTTTTGGGGGGGGCAGTTGTAACTTTGAACGGTCACTAAAGGAACTGTTGCGAGTTGAGAACTGCCTGTCGCCGTCTCCAGTGCGTGTTAAAATGTTTTTCTCCCGTCTGATTGCAATATGTATGTATGTATGTATGTATGTATGTATGTATGTAGGTCTTTGGTTTGTTCGGGTTTTCTCCCGCGTAAAATTGGAAGTGTCTTGGCGACGTTTCGACGAAGTCCCATTCGTCATCTTCAGGCTGGTGTTTTCAGCTTTGTGCTTCGAGCAGCTTCCAATTTTACGCGGGAGAAAACCCGAACAATCAAAGACCTACATACAAACACCCGCGAAAACCTCAGAAAACAAATATAAATATATATATATAGTTTTACAAATTTAATACAATATAAACCCCTCCCACCCCTTCCCCCCCACTTCCCAGAGCTGATTACAGGGTAACAAATAAACAAATATAATCTAACTAACATAAACCAGCTATACCAGTGTTTCTCAACCTTGACCATTTTAAGGCATGTGGACTTCAACTCCCAGAATTCCACAGCCAGCAATGCTGGCTGTGGAATTCTGGGAGCTGAAGTCCACATGCCTTAAAATGGTCAAGGTTGAGAAACACTCAGCTATACCATCAATCAAAACCATAACACACTTTAACTCCTTTTCAAAACAAATATTAACAAATGAAAACAAAAATAGTAATATAATCGAGGTTATTAATGATTTTCTAAAATCTACTCATATGCAAGATGATACTTTTCAGTTTCATATTTCTTTGGAATGTAATCAATCCATCTTCTCCAAACCATAATATATTTTTCTTGTGACTGGTCCTTCAAATAGGCGGAGATTTTTGCCATTTCTGCTAAATTAGACACCTTAAGTATCCGTATTTTAACAACTTCTCCAGAGCGAACACGACTTGCTCTTCCAGTTTACTCGCTGAGATTGATCTCGGCCTGGATCGCCATCTTAGACCGAGGCACGTTATTTTCGGGAAAGGGAAAATGTCTCCTGAAAAATTATCTTCCCCAAGGCTGCTAAACCGCTCAATCTGCTTTTAAGTTGGAAACTTCAGAGCATTGCAGATAGAAGTGCAATAAAGCAGAAGGTCTTAGCAGGTGGGACCCAAATCCAGATTATTTGGTCTGTTCCCAGCTGGGCCAAGAAAAGAGTCTCCTTTCTGACTGGTTGATACCGCTGGCTTTTCCTTCCTGTAATATTTCCAACACATTTCTTCCCCTTGCTTAGCTTCCTGGCCTCCACAAAGTCAAGCAAATGCTACCTGGTGCTAAGGCAGAAAAACAAAAATCAGATTTCCGATAGCAGCCGGTCAGCGCACGGCAAGGTTCAGACAGCAGCAATGAAGTAATAATAGGATTATTTCACTCCAATACTATCCTCTCCTCTACAGCAAGTTTATAAAGCAGACTTTCTTCATTGGGGCAAATAAAGCACAATGTTTTGGCAGCTGTATTAGATTAACATTGATTTCTGCTCTGGCTTGTAAGGCTTCATTGCTAGCTTTTCTCTTGCACTAGTTTATATCAAAAGGCTTAGTAGACCTCTAATACGAGTCACCCAAGAAAAATGGCATTAATAACACCCACACATCCAAACCTCTGGCTGGTTCACTCCGATTCCAAATAATCAAGATCACGTGAAGTGATGATACCACTTTACAAGGCCTTGGTAAGGCCACACTTGGAATATTGCATCCAGTTTTGGTCCCCACGATGTAAAAAAGATGTGGAGACTCTACAAAGAGTGCAGAGAAGAGCAACAAAGATGACCAGGGAACTGGAGGCTAAAACATACAAGGAATTGGGTAGGTCTAGTTCAGTGGTTCTCAACCTGTGGGTCGGGACCCCATTTGGGGTCAAACGACCATTTCACGGGGGTCGCCAAACAACGCAGTCTGCCATTTCCCCCCCCCCTTTTTCCTTAGCTGTGCTACTCCCTTTTATTCTATTGGCTTTTGAAAGCCAATAGAATAGACTCACTTGAATAGAGTCTAATTTTATTGGCTTTCAAAAGCCAATAGGAATTGTCCAGGCTCCAGGCTGTCTCTGCCCTGCTGAGCCCGCCAAAAGTCCCATTCTGCAAACGGTGCTGCACCAGTTGAGTAGTCCTCGACTTACGACCGGTTGAGTAGTCCTCGACTTACGACCGGTTGGGGGGTCGCAGCATTAAAAAGGTTGAGAACCACTGGTCTAGTTGAATGAAGAGAAGAACTAAAAGTGACATGATAGCAGTCTTCCAGTATCTCAGGGGCTGCCCCAAAGAAGAGGGAGTCAAGCTATTCTCCAAAGTGTCTGAAGGCAGGACAAGAAGCAATGGATGGAAACTAACCAAAGAGAGAAGCAACCTAGAACTAAGGAGAAACTTCCTGACAGTGAGG